AACTCCCCATTCACGCATACAGTTGTGCAACCTGTGCATACAAGTGCGGTAACTGCCTGTAGGTTTTTACGCATAGGTAACTAGCTGGATGCACCTCTTTTAGCATTTGAAAATATTGTCCTCAGAACCATTCACCCATCAATGCCTCCTTCCACCTTCAACTAGATCCACAGATTGGGTCAAATTTTGTTCAGAGCTACACTGGTGCAATTCAGAATAACACTGGTTTCAGTGGAGCAACTCTGGATTTAGACCAGGGGAACTGAGAGCAGAGGCTAGCCCATAAATGGCTGAAATTCTTCAAGATTTCCTCTAAATGTTACCAGCTGATTCAAACGTTAGGTTTAAAATGTCTCTAATTTATTCAGTTTCACCCTGAAACATCAGTTGTTACTTCAAGGATGTGTTTTTGTTGTTGTTGTTGTGTGTTTTTTTTTTTAATCAAAGTAACACAACCAACCATTACTCTTCTGAGTTCTGCAACCCAGATTTACAGCCAGCAGCTTTGCTGAAGGCCACATATATTGCGGAGGTTGGACACCTTGGTATTGTCATTTTTCAGATCTTGATTGATTACCTAGCAGTAAGTGCTGCTAAAGGGGGAAGCGGATGGACGGTATCGACCAGAGTCAGGGTAGATTTTGATCACTTTAACAGCGTCGTACTTGCAATAGGCTAATCTCACTTTTTGTAGGGTACAGTCAGTTCTGACCCCACTCTAAACTGAGCCAGCTGCCAAATGGGTGGTGCTGAGGCGGTGGCCCATAACAGGCCGACGTTGTCTTTGCATTCGGAATACTAGAGCAGTGGGTTTCAACCTGTGGTCCGTGGATCCCTCAGACTAAGATTTCCTAAGGGGTCTGCACCTCCATTTGAAACAAATGAAAAAAGGTTGAAAAGCCTTGCACTAGAGAAGTGCTCATGCAGGTCCAGCAATAATACAATATACTGGGGAGGTGGGTGAACTTCATAGTGAGGTTTTCTATCACCCAGCAGAGGACAAACCCTCTATTCCTGTAGGTTCTTGTCTCTCCCTAATCAAGGCAGATTGCGTTCAGCTTCCAAGTCCTATCGATTCACTGCTTCCCCAGGCAGAGTTTATTTGGGAGCTAGTGGTCCCACATGCTGAGTACTCTCCAATCCATTTGAAAGCAGGGAGAGTTGAGGGAGCTCAGACCCGTGCAGGAGGCATTCAGCACCTTGCAGGATCGCATTCTTGCTGATCAGTGCAGGCAAGGCTGACTGTGTGCATATCAAATTGAAAGACCCTGGTTCACGTCGTCCGTAATCTGAATGCCCCCAGACATTCAGAAGTCATCAGTCAGATCCCCCAGAAATCATGAGACTGGCTTAAAGGTCATGAGTGTGTAAAAGCATAATAAATAATGGGAACTTATTTGCCATCTGAGCCTTTAGATCACATTTGGCTCATGTTTTCAAACTTTTCTCTGCAAATGTGGTGGCTCCTAATTTCCTTTTTATTTCTAACGAAAGCTGAGATTCTCCCATAATTACAAAACTCTTGGAGCTTAGCATCCAATATAATGTGATGGTAACGTGGTATAATACTTGGGATAACTACCCATTGAAACAGTAATGCTTTAAGACAAAAAGAAGAGCCCAGATTAAATTTATTTGATGCAATTGTAGTACTCGTTTACTCCTGTTTAGTAGGAAAAATTAAAATGATACCAGATGCGAACATTGACAGAGAGGCAATCAGCAGTTCCAAATGCCTTCAGAGTTTAATGTCCTCCTTCCAGGTATATTGCTGGCGCGTAATGGGAAACTGAAAGCTAGTTGATCTGTCCCTAGTGCCCAATATATTGTGACAAGTTGCACTGAATAACATAATCTTAGCTCTAAACCCTGTTTTATGATGCCAAGCGGTAGCCCGCTGGATCTCCTTGATTTGGTGGTGGTTTGAGTTTTACTTTTTTGAAAAGCATTTGAAGGTCACTTATCCTTCTGCTCTCACCAAGCCCCCCGTGTCGCATCCATTCACTGTCATTCTGGTGTGAGACGAAAGGTTACGAACTGTTCTGTGAATTCTCTTGTGTTTAGAACAATTCTTGTTTCTTGGTTTTCCCGCCCCCTTCCTAAAATACTACCGTCTGGCTGCTCTCTTTTGCTCTCATCCTGTGCATTTTTAATCCGGTCTCAGGGAAGCCTGGGTGGCTGGCATCATAGCTGATTGCTGTGATGTTTTTATGCAGTCTGCTCTTCCTTCTCTCCCACTGAAGAAGCTTTTCCAAATAAAAACTGCATCTCCCAGCCCCCCTCCCCACCCATGTAACCACAGCAGAGATGAAATATGTATTCCCTGCTAAAATATTAAAACAAATATCTCCCATGCAGGCACAAAGCATGAAGCCTTTTTTTCAAAACCACACAGAGAGGGAGGGAGATGCAATATTTACAATCTGGAGCAAATCTACCTAGAATCAGCCTGAAACTCACTGATGCTGTTTGGCAGCAATTTTTCTTCCTGCAGCAGGACATATAATTAACACTATATATAATTTTTTAAAAATTTTGCAGATGTTTTAATTAAAAGTAACATTGCAGTGCCGTCATGCTAGCTGCACACCACGCTTATCCATATGGCTTGTACTTCACCAACAGAAAAAAGTGTAGGATGTTTGCTAATAGACTTTATAATGGAAACTGACAAAAAAGAATTATTAATGGTCAGCCCAAAGGTAGCAGACAAGATGGAAATCCAATTCCTTTAGATCTTTTGGTTCTCGTCTGCTTGCAAGAGTGTAGCTGGAAATGCGGTTTCCCCATTTTCAGGCGCTCATAACTTTCTGAAACATTCACCAAAGAAGGGCCTGATGGAGCTGTTTGGAGCAGCAGGGAATATCTGTCCTGCCTCAGTTCCCTCCCTGTTCCAGATGGGGAAGGAATTTGCTACATCCATTTACCCGGTGCAATTTACTTCCTCAGGTCTGCTAGTCAGTGTGCCAAGGAGGGTGGAGCCATAACTCTTCTTATGCCCCGCCCATCTGCCTGGGGGGGGGGGGGGCAGGCTCTCTGCCCCTGCTCTCTGGTCTGCACCTAGACCCTAGGGCCAGGGTTATTTGGGGGGGCTTGTTCCCCCTTTTGCCTGTGTGTCCACGTTATAAATTCATCAGTTTTAACGTCAGAAGGGATCCTGTAGTCTGATTTCCTGCATAGCACAGGCCAGCGAACCTCACCCAGGAATTCCTGCGTCCAGCCTATATTTTGTGGTTCAGCTATTGCATGTATTTTAGACAGACTTCCCGTCCTGATTTAAAAACTTCCTGTGATGGAGAATCCTCCATGTCCCTTGGTAAATTGTGCCAATGGTTAAGTACTGTTAAAAATGTGCCCCTTGTTTCTAGTCTGATCTGGCTAATAGTTTAAGAAAATCTGGGAAATTCCATTTAAATAATCTGGGGGGAAAAAATTCCTAGTCTCTGATTATTTTGCTGGAAATCACTGAGATGTCCTACCTGCCCCCTGTCCCCCATGAACAGGTCTTGCCCCACTGAATGTGCACCTCACCATGGGAATCTCTGCTTCAATCGCGGCATGGTCCTGCATCCGGCAAAGCTCCCCGTTGTGTCAGATCAGGCTCTGTGTGCTCCTCTCTGCACGCAGAATACTGCGATGTGCATAGACCACCACGCAGCTGATTGCCTGGCCAAAGCCCTTCCGGGATTCCAAAGCTATCTCAGAAGAGAAGGATCTTCTCATAAAGGTTTTTATTTATTTTAAAAAGGCCTGGCACATACAAACCATCGGATAAACAAACAGGCCTGCAAAGCTATCAGGCATTTCGCTAGTTGTGAATGTCCATCCGGAGCATCACTTCCTGTACATTAGTGCTGGCATGGAACCCCTCTGGAGTGGGACTCTCCAACTCATCCACTTGACTTGCAATGGTGTCATTCATTCAGTGCTGGGGCTTAGTTTGATTCAACTCCCTGAATATTTCCACTGCCTTGACTGTAACCAGGATGACACATTGAGTCAAAAGACAGTACGGAAAGGCCAGGCATGAAACCATTTACTTGAAATAATTAAAACAAGCAGCAGAACGACTGTGATCTTCCTTGGGAATATCCAGGTTGCTAATCACCATTTTCAGTTCGGCACACTCAGCAATGAGCGCTACTAGCCATTTCCACCTCCAGTACGCTTTGCCCTTCTGGAGGGAACATGCAACAAAGGAAAGCTAATAAAATAATCCCGAATAATACAGGCCCTCATGCTTACCCAAGGTATTTCATTATACTAGCCCAAGCAAGAGTAGTGAGGAATGGAAGACAGAAATACAGCGTACTAGGGGATGGTTAGCTAGTGTCACTGAGAAATGCTTTGTGGCTGGAGTAATTGCTTCCACAGCATCTGCAGGGTCACGTAGCTGACAGCAGCAATGCAGAATGCAGTGGAAGGGCAAACTCCCCTAAACTCATGATGAATGGTGAGGTATCCTCAATATCTCTTCGGAATAGAGAGAATCCCCAAAGCATATGCTATTTGCTGGGTTAATGTACTACAGGACAGCATCTGTATTTGAGAGTGAGTGAGAGAGAGAGAGAGGCATCCTTACCATGCAAAAAAGAGCAGAGAGCGGGGGGAGGGGTGGAATTGGCCTAGCAGCTAGGGTGCTAGTCTGGGACTTGGGACACCTGGGTTCAGTTCCATACTCTGCCACAGACGACCTGTGTAACCTTGAGTATGTCACTTAGCCTCTCCGTGCCTCAGTTTCCCATCTCTAAAATGGGGATAATGGCACTGCCCTACCTTACAGGAGGGTTGTGAAGGTAAATAGATGGAGTGAGGTACTCAGATACTACCTGATGGGAGAGCCAGAGAAGTACCTTGGTAGATATGGCTGCAGGCATGTAACAGCATGATGGCTTTTACTGATGTGACTGCCTGGAATGGCTTTCTCCTATATCATATGTCCACTCTGACACACCTGCTTTTGACAAATCTCCAGATACAGTGTTTTTATCACTTTACAGCAAAAGCTTTGCTTCATTTATGATGATTTTTTTCATGGGTGTCCATATGACAACTTTGACAAGAATGTGCCTAAAAGTGTAAGTATTGAAAAAGAAAACACTTGATTAAGATGCATTTCACTATGTACCCATAATGCTACCTCGTCTGATGAAGTATTTGTGATGATAGTTCAGGCCCAGAATGGTAACACGTGAGCTTTATATAGGAATGGCCTCCAGCCAGATCTAACATTGCTAACACAAGCTAAGCATTATTAAGGGGCCATTTAAAGTGCTCTGATATACTGTAAAACAGTTTATTGCAACCTTCACAACATTTTGGAATCCAAGTTTTCAGAATCTGCTTGTTGAGTTTTCAGTCACGCTGTCGTCTTGCTGCTCACACCAAAAACACGAAGACCATAGAACTTGACAGTGTGGTGCATTTTTAATCACAGGGAGTCCTGATTCCTGGAATGACCCAGAAACTCCTGGGGCCACGACTGGGTGTGTCTCTGAGATCCACTCCAGTTCATCCCGAAGATTGGGCTTGATGCGGGAGGAACAGTGAAATTCTATGGCCTTGAAATTTTTAATTCTCCTGGCCTTCAAATGTATGACTTCTCCGCTGGTATAAAAGGCTGCACCTCCATAGAGGTCAGTGGAGCTCTATCTCCTTGCACCACCTGAGGGGCCCATGCTCTGCATATTAATGAACCTCGGCTTCCTCACTTGGGTGTTGCCCTTGGGCTCCATGAAGGGAGGTGATGGATCACTGACATTGGTAGAGGGCCACAGTCCCATTCCCCTGGCTAGGGGTAAAGTGGCATCTGATCTCAGTTAGCAAACATGGTATTCAGTGCTTTAAAACACGTGAATCATCCCAAAATGCAGATACTGGCAAGAACTTGCACCGGGACTCTCCCTATCAATGCCGTTAGACAGGTTGAGGTTTGGTAAGGAATAAACAGCTGATTGCAGAAACTGTGAGTTAAAACCAGGCTCTTACCTGTAGACGTGGCACTGCACAATCATGCTGAGCCCGGGACAATCTCTTGCTGGAAAAAAATGCTACAGGGTTTGGCCAAGATCTGTAGCATCCCTGAGGCGCTCCAGGAGGAGTTCTGGCTCTGAGGCGCAATTCAAGCAGGAGCTCCCCCCTCAGGGCTTCGGCCTCTCAGTTAAGGGAGGCCTTGGTCTGTGGTTGGAGATTCTGGGGCGGGGAGGTTCATTTCCCCCACTAGTCACAGCTGCTGGTTGAGAAAACATTGGCGTATCCCGTCGCTGTTTAGCAGATGTACCCCCTCCCTACTTGCCATGCACATACCCAACCTGAGGCCTGAAGTGGAACGTGCGCTTGAGCATCCAAGATTTATTAGTGTTATATCGTATTTCCTAGTTACAGCTGTGTTCACTGGAAACCTAGCAGTGAATGGGTCAAACGGTGCCATGGTTTACAGGCAAATGGTGGGAAAGGGAGCGAGGCCGTCGCAGGAATGTTGGGGATGGATAACAGTCCGTGGGGTAGCAGATCAGTGTGGTGTGTTGCTGTCAGACCCTGGCATATCATCCTCTGACCTGGCTTGTAGCTGTCAGCTCAGATGAGTGATCCGGCAGAATGAGAGGAGATGCATTCGGGTTACTCCAGGGAAGAAGGAGACAGGCCCCACTCCTTCCTGGAGGGAGGAGGTGGGAAAAGTTCTGGAAGTAGGTTCTAAAGTAGTCTGCAGAGAATGAGCTGCTTTGGAAATCTCGGGCTATGTGAGGGCAGCAACAGTAGCTGACTAGTGACCGATGTGGACCGAGATGGCTTGGATTTTCAGAAGTGGCCTGTAATTTGGGGTGCCCAGTTTGGGACACCCTGGAACATGGCTGTCAGGAATGATGAGCCCTGTCCGCTCCTGTAGACTCCCCCTGCAGCTGGAGATGTTCGGGTCTCATAAGCATTTGGCAGGTGGCTTTCTCCGCCCTTAGAGGCCACTTTGGAAAACGTTGGCCTCTGTGACTGTTAGTTCGAGCTCGTCTCACCTTGTTCAGGTGTGGTGGTGATTTTGTGCTTGTCAACGCCTCCGCCCCCCCGCCCCTCCCGAGAGATCGCACGGTTGCATAGCAATGCTTGTACTGGTTGCAGCAAGTGGTTAATTCCAGAGGTGTGTCCTCATTAGAAATGTGGGGAGCTAAAACGTTGCACAAAACCCCCTTTAACACCCACATCCCAGCAGAGGTGTTTGCTGCGGCCTGTCACCTACACAGCTGACTCCATGCCCAGGAACTTTGTTCTTGTCTCGCTATAGAATCTCTTCCTGTGGCCCATTCTCCTTGTGCCACTCCGTGTCTCCACTGTGCCCTCAACCGCTTGCTGGGGCAGTCACCTGCTTTTCTCCCTGCCTCCTTTAACATAAGAGTTCATCTGCTCTCTGTGGCACTCACCGGGGGTCATGCCCGGGTAATGGTAGCTAAGAACTGCCTCGGGCTGCCTTTGTACGATGATATTCTCTGTCTCTGCAAACCACCGAAAGGGAGAGGAGAAATCCTGGAAGAGAAGAAAAGTAAAACACATGCTAAGAGCTCTGCTAAGCCTGTCTGCACCTTGGGTCTCAGCGAATGGAAAGGGCCCTAAACGATCTGAAAATCTTGCCTGGTCAAAACAGCCTTTTGCCTGACTCATTGAGGTCTGTGTCTTTCAGCCAAGCCCGCCTTTCCCCTGCCCATCTCCAGGTGGTCTTAGATTTATTGCCTTCCTCTCGGCTCATAAGTGTTCTCTGAATCAGCCAGCAGGATGAAACCATCCCCTCAGAATGGCACAAGCTGGTTGAGTTCACCCAGCCTTCAGAAATGGGGGTTCCTTGGTGTTTCTCACATCCCGCCCCCATCGCAGGAATGCTCTGCCGCGCTTTGGGTCAAACTCCCAGCTGTGCAGAGGGCCTGTGTGAGGGCTCTTCTCCCCTCCCCCACCTCCCCTCCGGGCCACTGAAGTCCTCAAAATAGGGTTTATATTGGACTTAAGTGTTTCCCAGGCCTGTGCTGGCTCTGGCAGCAGGTTACCAGGGCCCTCTTACACCACGCTGGCAGCTTGAAGAGCGAGTTTACCTCCCCTTTAAAATCTCTTTATGCTTTCAGGGTGGTGCAAGAGGCCCTAATGCAAATGGAAATCAGGCCTGTAGATAAACCCGACTGGTATGTTTTTGTAGACCAGGCATCATAAATCCAGATTCAGCTACCTGTCCCAGGTCCAGCTGTGGGAAAGGACGGGAACATTCCCATAATTTTGTTACAGACTTGATTTTAATCTTTACTCTGCGTAAGACGACGAAATGCTAGGGCAAGCTGTCCTGTAATTTTTTAATCTGCAGCACAGGGAAAACTGCTGTGGAGCTCAATTAGCAACCTCTTTAGCAACGACAACAACAAACCCAGCAACAGGGAAAATTGGCCCTTTAAGTGGTTAGCCTCTGCACTGTACAGAGTATTTCTGAATACTTGGCCTTTATCCATGCAGCATCAAAAACTCCCCTTACTTTCATTAACAATGCACAGCTTTGCTTCAGAGTGAATTTATTTCAACAGAAAATAGAGGTTTTAAGAGTTCAAAGGAAGTTAGAAGGACTCGCCATGTGCTCGCACTTTTATTTATTAATATAGAACCTTGGATAAGCCCTATTGTCTTTAACTTTCGCATGGCTTTCTGGGTTTCCTTTGGAAATGTACAGGCTCAGGCAGAGGGTCGGGGATTCCATATCATTGACGGTCAGTGAGAGGAGCAGCCTAAAAAGAAAGTCACTTCTGCTTTCGGGTGCGACTTGGAAAGTTTGTAGCTAATCCATTGCGCAAGGTGGGCATTGCATGGAAATATACTCTGGCCTGGGTGCCATGATGGCTGGAACCTAGGCAGGTGCATACATTTATTTGGAAGCCGTTCGCAATACTTCACTGAGCAATAGGCAGCAGATGGGAGTAGCAGAGTCTAGGCAAGCAGCCACTGCAGCCATAGATGGTAGCTCACCACACCCCCTCTGGCACAGTGCATGCAGTCTGTGTCACCTGTCTGAATGGACCATGCAGTGCACAGGCTCGCAATGGATAGGCGCACTGTGGAGTTCATGGTTGGAGGAGAGCTGCCAGGGCCTCTGTGTGCAACTCAGCATCATGGGACCTAGAGTAGCAGGTAGTGGTGACAGCTGTCTGACTTTCCCAGGGACTGCCACCCAGCAAAGCTCCGTCAGCCAGGCATTTGACTGTGTCAGGAAGCAAGTTCACCAAAGAGAAGTTGCCTGCTGAGATCCGTTGGTGTGGGACCATGTCTGTGGTCTGGTTATACAGGGGAACACTGTCCTGCCCTCTCTTGATCTGCTGCCTGGATTCCTACCCAGATGGCTGAGGGTTCATTGCAGTGAGCCTCAGCCCCTGACAAAAGTGGGGGGCAAAATGGCGTCTCCTGTGCAGCCCTGGTTAGCCTGCGACAATAACTGGAGTAACCCGTGGTCAGGGCTTCTGCTGCATGTACTGGGAGCGGGCTGCGATGGAAAGTCGCAGAGCTGATAGCATCTCCTTCTGCCCCGTTCTCTTTTCCGGCCTGCACAGGCAAGTGCAGGGCTCAGGAGGAATGTACAGCCTGGAAATGGACTGCCTGGGGCAATAAGCCCCATTTTGTGCATTTTGCCCTGGAGTTTCTGCATTGCAGCCCTGCTTCTGGACATCTGTGTCCATGACTGCAGGTACCTTAAACTCTCAGCTTGTGGTGAAACCTGAACGCTCAGAGACCAACACCTCCCTGAGGTTGGATGCTGGTATTTCTTACTCTCTAAACACAGCTATGCTCCACTGTGATGAAAAGTCAGAGGCTGAGGTTGTAAGGCACAGGCTTCAGAGTTTGTGTTGAGAGGCAAAAGGCGAGTTGCTGTCACGTGTCGCAGCTGTAACTGTCCTGAGTCCATGTCCCTGGGCATGAGAACCCAAAGGAGATTCCTGGACAACACAAGTTACTCATACGTGCATGTTTGCATATAAGTGCCCTGTACAGTGGTCTCTGCTGGTTGTGATATAAAACATCTCCAGTGGAAGTGTGACAATTCAGAATACGTGTCTCTTCCTCCCCAGGT